ATTTGAAAGCAATTATTTTTATCTACAACTAGATATATGTTATTAATTAAAATCGTGAAACCATATTTAGAAATAAAATTTTTCAAAACGAAGAATGTTAAAAATGCAATTCAAAACAGATAAATCCTCAAATCAATCTCAAACACATTGAAACACTAATCTGAAAGTATTTAGTTGACTGATTAAAATACCTATGACTGCATATACCCTCCTTATTACCTTACAGATACAGAAATATTCCATAAACGTAGAAAAAATAATTAATACAATATAAAAAGTTGTTGGGCTATTTTGTGTATATCAGAAAGTTAAAACGTTCAATTGCAAATGTAAAACTGAGAAGTATGATATAATAGTTTTCACACGGAAACGCTTGAAAAAAAAGTTGTATTAAACAATAATAATTAACTTTGTAATACTTAAACTAACGCTATACATAAACTATGAGGAGTCATAAATAAGTGCGGCTGAAATTCAGCAAGGAATATAAAGCCACACATGCATATAATAAACTATATAAAAAGGATCAAAGTAGTAAAAAAAAACTTTAATACTTTGATAGGTCATCTAAAAAAGATCCACATTATTTTTGTTATTTTGGCAAGTTTTCATAAATTTTTCTCAATCACGATAAATATTCAAAATATCTTAATGTATTGAAATGTTTATAATTTATAAAACCTAGCCATTATACCAAATATTTTTTGAAAGCTCAAACGATAACCATAAACATTTGATAAATAATTTTAATATAGTGAATCACTAAAAAAAGCTAATGGTGGGAAATAAAATAAACTTACATATATACAGGGTGTCCCAAAATTAGACGGCCAAAATATGAGTATAAGTTTATATAAACATAGGTCCGAAAACGTTTTGTTTCCGAGATACAGAGTGTTAAAAGTGAAGTCCTAATCACACATTTTTGTAAATATTTTCTAAACTTTTAAAGATAACTAAGTGAAATTTGTTACAAATGCTAAACTTTTTACGCTCTATTTAATGGACTAAACGCCAGTTTTTGATCATCTTCATAGGTGGGTAATTTAGAGGAGGGGCTTAAGGTTAAATTGTCCTAAGTTTTTTTGTTGACGGTTTTTAACATTTTTGACTACAAAATTTGGATTGATGTTGATGTTATCTTATTCGAAAATGTAAACAATAATTAGTAGGCCAGAAATTTTATTTTTTTTTAACTTTGGAAAACCCGTGGCTAAAGATATTTTAAAAAATTTTTACAAAAATGTGCCATGAGGACTTCACTTGTAACACCCTATATCTCGAAAACGAAACGTTTTCGGACCTATGTTTATATGAACTTTTATTTCTATTTTAGGATGTAGATTACGCTGTTAAAATATGACCGTCTAATTTCGGGACACCCTGTATATCAAAAATATTAAGAAATTTACGAAATAGTTTTTTTTATAGACTTTGTTACATTTTTACATATTACAAACCTCATTAAAATATTTGCATTATTTCTGGGACTATGTCCTATATATAGGGTGGTCACTCTTACAGTGTATACTATTGTGATATCCTAAACGGTAAGAGATACAGTGTTGGTTAAATTAGAGAAAAGTTGCGCTATTTCATGCCCATTGGGAATCTGCTTTAAAATCTAAAATATCTACAGGGGTTTCAAAAACATCGGGTAAAAACTAAAAATTGTCATTTTGGAAAACTTGCCATTTTGTCTACACCGTTTGAACAAATTTAACGAAAATTTAGACTTTTCTACGCTATCGAAAAATTTTCAAGCCTTCTAGATTCTTAATTCAACGATATCATACAAGCCATAACATTTTTCAAAAGATTTATAACATGAACAAGCGAAAAGCGCTGTGTATTATGAAACCCTATTACGTAAATTTTATAATCGTTTCAAAGTTTTTAAATACGTATAAATGGTCCACATAAGCTATGTATAAATAGACAGAGGCAAATTAGTTCAGTACCATTTTCTCTTTTGTGAACCATTTTTTTTTTTTTTTTTAATTTTTGTTTAGAAGCTATTGACAACCTTTAGTATTATCAATAATTTTTTTCCCAACCTTCGATACCTATATGAAATCCACTAATCCACAATTATGAATTATGATTGACTAATTATATTAACATGTAGCGAACATAAGGCACTCTTCAATTTTGAACCAACTGTTCCAACTTCCCCTTCCTCTTCCTCTGCCACGCCTTAATGGTAAGGGATAGAAAGAAATAAATAGCGGAGCCATAGGCCCCGTTTGAAACTTCCCCCTCTATTTTTCCCTCACCTCAAGAGAGGTCGATATATAGAACCGCTAAACTTTGGGTACGATAGATTGGATTTTGAGGCGAAAACAATTTTACCCCCACTCCCTCTCTTAGTTTAGGAGGGGGACAATGAATTGCAAATGTCATTAATATGTTGACTTGATATTAACAAATAGCTACATACAGAAATGACGTTTTAAGGGAGTCATTGAAGTTTAAAATCCAAGTGCGATAGCTAATAAAATAGTTTTTTTTTGCTCGATTTAATAGTATGAAATCCAATATGGCGTCCATAAGAAAAGTAAAACTAAAGAATGGAAAATAAGATTTTGTCCTAACTTCACTTTTCTTTAGAACACGTTTATGGTTTGTATGGAATCGTTGAATTGGGAATTTTGTTGGCTGGTATAAAAATCTAATATGGCGGTCATAAGAAATACCAAAGTTGGCTATGGTTGCTCAAAATCTAGAAGGCCTGGAAATTTTTCGATAGCGCCAGTCAATTGGGCGTAACTCATAATACCCAAGTCTAAATTTTTGTTAAATTTGCTTGAACTATGTAGACAATATAGTAAGTTTTTTCAAAATGACAGTTTTTAGTATTTACCCGATATTTTGGAAACCTTATATAACTTAAATAGTTGTAAATAATCAAAAATATCAGACCTTATGGATTCGCTAAACTGTATAAATTGAGACATTTTATTTATAAAGTAGTTCTTTTATCATACCAGAAGGGTTATGTTTATTTTGATCCACTTCTTTTTGAATAGTTCAACTTCGTTCTAATTATCCTGTCCAATTCTTCTTTTCTGGTTCCCCTTCACAGAAGTTGGTAGACTCTGGTCTATCTTAGCAACACCAAAAATCTGCTTACCAGTACCTACAATATTTTTAAAATTCAAAATCACTAGATTTTGGTGAGAAATTGAGAGGGGGAATAAAAAAACTGATTGTCTTATCTTTGGGCTTTTTGATGTTAATGTTATTGGCCAAAAATCTTTAAATTTTTAAATATATTTTACTTCGGTTTGTTATACAAACGAAGAATCTCTCTGAGGATATTTGTTTAAAAAAAAATTAAATAATAATAAATATTATTTTCCACCAAGGTAGGTCAAACTAACAATTTCTGCTATTTTCTTCATTTAATATTCTTTATACTAGAGTGCTAACAGTGTATTTTCTCTTTGTACACATTTTTAGTTACGATTTGTACCTTTATTTGCAAAAAATATCTACTCGGTTTTAATCCTGTAGTAGAAGGTATTTTGAGTTCCTCTATGTGCACCTGCTTTTATATACCTATCCCGCAGTACCCACAGCTTTAAGATCTTGAAGGATACTCCCATGGAGGAAGGATAATTAGGAGTTGCAGATTCCACACAGAAATTTGGCAACATGTTTGCCTTCAGCGCCCTATGGAATAATTTTGTGCAACTAATACTCAGTCGGTAATATAGAAAGCTGTAATGCTATTTTAGTTTGAAAATTGGCGGGCTTTTGAATTTACTTTGTCAAAATATAAGAATTTTACATTTTCAATAGTATTTTTTTAACACTCATCCCATGCGTGTTAAAAAATGCTAATAAAAATGTAATAATTTTAGGGGTGTAAAATAAATAATACAAAATTGTATTGACTAAATATTATTTGTAGAATCAATAAACATAATATATATTTTCTGATTAAAAAACTATTTTAAATAACACAAAATAAACTAAATTTTGCTTTAATCGTGCGAAATGACACAAGAGTTCCATCTATAAATCCTGAAACGAAAAAAAACGAAAAAAAAAAAAAAAAAAAAAAAAAAAAAAAAAAAAAAAAAAAACACAATCGTTGAATGCGAAAAACTTCTTAAAACACATGATTTTGATTGTAGGTGACTCATTAATTTTGCATTTGCAGCTATTAAACTATTTTTTTATTCACTACTTCTAATTTCTATTATAAAGGTCCACGACTTTGTTCCCTGGGGTAGGATCAAACAATTAAAGGGACAACACAAGTAAATTAACTCCTTTTCATGTATTAATTTGATTGATTGCCTCTGCTTTAAGCAATACTTTGCTTCCGGCAACAGATCCGGGAAAACTATAAAAAGTTACATTATACATTTTTAGTGTACATAAATTAATCGCTTGACTTACGATATGATGTAAACCATACAGTATACATATATACTTTATCGGTATCTTTAATATTAACATTTTAATTTAAGCACATTTTAATTTAATAATTAAACATAACCTATTAATTCTTCTAATTCTAATATATTACAAAGAAAATAAATCATGGATGTATAATGCACTGGACTGAGAAAATCTCTACCCCTTTTATAATCTAAACTTTGTTGGTTATCAGCCACTTGCACTGGCCTTGCGTTTAGACATTAAACTGATTTTGCATTTTATATCAAATTGTATTTTTTTTATTTATTCTATTACATCAGCAATAAACATTCTTTACAGTTGTACAATCAGATAAATATTGTTTTAATAGAACCCCCTAACTTTCTAGTAATTGATTCCCACTGAAAATCACCTCCAGCGAGTAATCTATGTAACAAACCCCTGTAGATATTTTAGATTTCAAAGCAGATTCTTAATGAGCATGAAATAGCGCATCTTTTCTTTAATTTAACCAATAATATACACTGCAAGAGTGACCATATAAAATATAACCTTCAAATTCAAAAATTATCGATGAATTTTTCGAATAAGCTTCACACTTTTTTCTAGGAACTGGATTGAGAAACAAAAATAGAATTTCCCAACAAACTTTCTTAAAAAAAACATTGAACTATAAATTAATAATAATATAAGTGATGTGCTTTGCCCTAAACAGTGTTAGCAAGTGAAAGACAAAACTATTCAATAAATATGGCGACTATTTGTTTCCGGCCGCCCCCTTTACCGCCCAATAAGAAACCGAGTCATCTGACGAACGCCAATCGTCAGCGACTCAAACAAAATTACGGATTGCTCTCTTCGACGTATTTGAGTTTCCGCGATTCGGCCGATGACGCGATTTTGAGCGATAAAGACATCGAACTGCGATTTAAATCCGACAGCGGTACGGGCAAACGCAGCAGGAAATTGACACATACAAATTCTTTAATCAGAAAAAAGGAAATACCACTGGTCTTGACTAGAAGTCAATCGGATGGCAATATCGATAAACAAGGAACGTCGCCAGTAAGCATCAATAGATACATGAAGGTTCTAAGTGGAAGCTGGAAAAATCTACTAAACTGTAAGTTATATTAGAAACTGAATATTCGACTAACTTTTTTTCATTTTAAACCTTCGCCTGCTGTTATTTGAACTATCAAAACTAGTTTACAATAAATAACTACTAACTTTGTTCTAATTCATCTTATACTACAATATCATTATGTGGGCATTTTATAGATAAAATTGTTTGAGGAGTGGAAATTGTAGTTTTTAATTTCTAGTTTTAAATATAATAATAAAAATAATATAATAATGTTTATTGTTCATTTGTACATCTGTATCTGTAACGTGTGGTGGGTGGGTTACCCCCACGACACTTAGGCCTCATTAGGTCCATTGTGCATCCTCCTGAGATGATAGGCACTTCCTAGCTCGTGAGCCAGTCTACAGATTTAATATAGTTGACAACGTCGCCAAGAAGTACTTCGGTGATATGGAGATGCTTTCATACTTGACAATGACCAGTCAGAATGCCTGTGACTAGGAGCAGATTCTGTCATAGTCAAGTATTTGTTTACTGCAGTGTTGTCAGGATAACTTAATAGCTCCCTAGTAACTCTGCAGTTTCTTGTTTCATCCCATCTTTCGTTGAATTTCACAAGGGAATGTTCTTTGATAAGGTCTGTCACAACTGATTTTGTCAGGCCATTGTTGATGGATACTTCGGCCAAAGCTTCCTGACATTCTACAGGGTCCGGCTGGAATGTGACGTTTTTCGCTACACTGTGATGATTAGAAATTTTGTTGTAAAAAGAAGTAAAAAATCTGAAAAATAATACTCATTGAATGCAGTTTTTAACAGTTTATTATTTTTTAAAAATTACAGCTTTTAAATGTCCACCATTAAACTCTTATACATTTTTCAATATTTTCTCGGACGTGATTCATAACTGCGCCTCGAAGTCTTCCATCAATTCGTCTTATCTCCTCAGTTATGTTGTTCTTTAGCTCATCTAGTGTGTAGGGCTTGTTTAGATACACTTTAGACTTTAGGTACGCCCATAAGAAACAATCTGGAGCCGTTAAGTCAGGAGAACGTGCTGGCCAGACAAGGTCTCCATTTCGGGAAATTAATCTCCCAGGAAACTTATTCCTTAAAAATTGCATAACTATTCTAGCGGTATGACTAGTTGCCCTGTTCTGTTGAAACCATATTTCGTGATCTTCAACTCTCAATCTACATAACTCGGCAGTAAGAAATGTTTGTAGCATTTGCAAATATCACTCCGAGGTAACGGTTACAGTTCGATTGTTCTAGGGTCCAATAATCCCAAAGGTTGCAATACCGCACCAAACCGTAATTTTTTCAGCATGTAAAAGTTTCTCATGCAACTGCATTGGTTGTTCTGCACACCAATATCGAAAGTTTTGTTTACTAACAAAACCTGATAAATGAAAATGAGCTTCATCCGACATAATTAAATTATCCATCAGATCTTCTCTTTCGCCCAACAATCTTACGAATTTCCTGCAAAATGCAAGTCTGTTAGGTGGATCTTGTGGGGATAATTGATGCACAATCTGTATTTTATAAGGATGAAACTTAAGATCATCATGCAAAATACGGCACACTGTACGATCTGATAGGTTTAGAGCCCTTGCATGTTTATTCGCTGAACGTGTTGGACTAGCTGTTACTGCTTCCTCAACTCTTCGAATATTTTCAGGTGTTCGCACAGTACGGGAAGAACCAGCAAACCTATCACAGATATTTCCATGCCCTTTCCACTTCTTAAGCCATTGCAAAATAATATTCCGCGATGGAATGCGACCACGTCTTGGGATATTAAACTCAGCCCGAAATCGTCTTTGGACCGTAATAACAGACTTCGTTTCAATGTAAGCCATCACGGCGAACACGCGTTGATTTACCAGCCAATTCTCCATAGCTACTAAACTGCATACAATAACAAACACATAAGTCATAAACAGAACTCCCCCACCCATTCATGTGTCAGGCAGTGGCGCGTTAAAATGTGTCACATGCCGGACCCGTACTAACCCTGAGTAAATTCGTGGTCTGTTCAGGGTGAGTAGTGCTCGTCTGCTATCTCACAACCAAACCTCTTATATTTACATCTTCTACATTTATGTTTACTGTTCGAATGTTATGTATCCACCCACTAACCATTTGTGGAACATTCCTATTGGTTAGTGAGTGTATTATCTTTGGGAAGGTAGTTTTATCAAAAGCATGGATCTTGTATAAGAAAACACCCAAAGCAAACTCCTTATTGTATAGGGATTTTTCTATCCGGCCGCCAACTAGATGATGGCCTGAATCAGTAGATCTGCTTGGGGTGTATGCATGTTGGTTTGGGTGTAGCGCTGTTGTTGTAATCACCGCATCCCTTATGTACCTTTCCCATAACCTTTCCTGGAAAACGATGTCAGACTAATTAGTCGGTATGTTTTTGGGACAGTGTAATCCATCCTTCCAGGTTTGGGTATAAATACCACTTTTACCTCTCTCCATTTTTTGGGGATACACCTCAGAGCCAACGAGGATCTGAATATACCTACCAGGTGCGGTGCGAGTTCTTCCAGACTCCACTGAAGTAGGGCTGGAAAGATACCGTTAAGTCCTGGCGATTTAAATGGAGAGAAGCTGGATATTGCCCATCTAATTTTTTCATCGTCTACAATGTGTTTGGCAGTTTGCCAATCATAGACAGATGGATTGTCTTCTTCCTCTGCCCAGTCTGTCACGTCTGTGATGACCGAGTCAGGGAACTGTATTGACAGCAGAAGTTTGATGCTATTTTCGAGGTTGCCAGTTTTCTTGCCTTCCTCTTTGATTAGCGTACCAATGCTTCGGTGTGGATCTTTTGAGAGAGAGCTTTTCGAAGCCTCGTTGCCTGTGAAAAATCTTCGATTTTTTTGCAGTAGGATCTCCATGCATCTCTCTGTTTTTGTCTAACGATTTTTTTTGTATTCTCTGAGGTGAGATTTGTAAGTACCCCCAGTCCTCTTTGAGTTTTGTGGTTCTTCCCTTATTAAAAGATTTCCTAGCCATCTTCCTGAGGTGATCCAACTCGTTCATTTGTACATAAAATTAAATGAACAAGGAGACTGAAATGGGAATGAGTAATTTTACATAATATACAAAAAATAAAAACTAATTTGTGGTAAATAAAAAAGGGTATTTACCATAGAACAAATTATGGGTCTCGCTCTTTTATTCCTAGAGTGACAAGATCTGCTAACAGACTAAATGTAGAATGGATTACTTCTCCATCAGATTTTTCTAACCATTTATGTATATGTGAGGAGTAGATGTTAGATTTTTAATTGTTTTTAATATTTATGTATTTAAATTAATTTATTATTATTATTTAGGATTTTATTACTATCTAATGTATGTGATATGTATTATCTGTAATTGTATTGTTTTAATGGGCTTTGACCCGTAAATAAATAAAATTTAAAAAAATATTAAAAAAAAAAACAGAATGCTAAAATAAACACACCAAGAAAGGTTATGATAGCCATATCGTTTATTATGAATGAACTAATTTTCATTGCTCCGCTTATGAATTTATATAGTTTACTAAGTGTGATGATGATGTATCGAGTCTAAGTCGTCCGAATGTCCTCGAGGTTTGATCAAGTCGCTTCTAAGGTTTTTATACATTTAACAGATCAGCAGTATGTGTTCGATAGTTTCTGATACTAAACAATTAGGCATTCCAAACTAAATGGCTACCAGTGGGTTCTGACGGGTTATGATTTGGCAAAATTATGGCAACCCTGTAGGCCTGGTGATTTGACAAGGTCAATGAAATAGATAGTTACAGAGATTAATCATCCATATTTTTCAAAATAAACATAAGCTTATGCCTTGAAGTAAAAATGTAAGCAATTATTTTTTTTTAAATATCTAAAGGCTAAAAATTGGTTTTAAAACACATTTTTGCTAAACCGATTCAAATTAATAAATATTTGCCAGACAATATGGCCGCTCGTAAACGACCAGCTTTGAGCAATCTATATAACTATATATGTATCATTGACCCTGTTAATGACAACATGACAACAGGGTTGCCATATCTAAACTGTCATTACTCACTGGTAGCCATTTGGACAGGTCGTTGGAATGCCTAATTGCAAATTGAGCAGATGACGTTTGTGTCTGTCTATTTTATGTGAGTTGTTGTTAACGTGTAAACAGTGGCGGCTCTAGGTTATTTAAAAAGGGCTAATTTTAAATAACATAGATCGTCTAAAAATAGTATATTGTGGATAAGCGAGATATTTAAAAAAAAACACAAATTTAATATGTTTTAAAAGTAAAAATTCTACTTAAAATTATATAAAAAGTTTTTTTTTCTATATCTTGTATTATGAAATATAAAAATTATATGATCACAAAAAGCATAAAATTTTATAAATTTGTATTTATCTCGGCTTGATATGTACAAAAAAATTATGTGGTTATCATAAAAACGGTGCAAAAATTCTTAAAAATGTATTCTTGATTATTATTATTATTAAATAAAAACTTATGATTGTCAACTCATAATTTGGTACGAATGGCTAATGGTGATAAGGTCTTAGTTTCTCTCAATTATCTTTCTTATTATTTAAGATAAAATTATGATTTGATAACCATTAGAACCCTTTTATCTTATAATAATAGAGAATTGATTTTTACGAATTGTTGCACAATTTTTTATGATATCGCTGTATATAGTTGAAAATTCGATAAAACTAGTGATATTGATGATATTAATGATATTAATGATATTAATGATATTAATGATATTAATGATATTAATGATATTAATGATATTAATGATATTAATGATATTAATGATATTAATGATTAATGATATTAATGATATTAATGATATTAATGATATTAATGATATTAATGATATTAATGATATTAATGATATTAATGATATTAATGATATTAATGATATTAATGATATTAATGATATTAATGATATTAATGATATTAATGATATTAATGATATTAATGATATTAATGATATTAATGATATTAATGATATTAATGATATTAATGATATTAATGATATTAATGATATTAATGATATTAATGATATTAATGATATTAATGATATTAATGATATTAATGATATTAATGATATTAATGATATTAATGATATTAATGATATTAATGATATTAATGATATTAATGATATTAATGATATTAATGATATTAATGATATTAATGATATTAATGATATTAATGATATTAATGATATTAATGATATTAATGATATTAATGATATTAATGATATTAATGATATTAATGATATTAATGATATTAATGATATTAATGATATTAATGATATTAATGATATTAATGATATTAATGATATTAATGATATTAATGATATTAATGATATTAATGATATTAATGATATTAATGATATTAATGATATTAATGATATTAATGATATTAATGATATTAATGATATTAATGATATTAATGATATTAATGATATTAATGATATTAATGATATTAATGATATTAATGATATTAATGATATTAATGATATTAATGATATTAATGATATTAATGATATTAATGATATTAATGATATTAATGATATTAATGATATTAATGATATTAATGATATTAACGATATTAACGATATTAACGATATTAACGATATTAACGATATTAACGATATTAACGATATTAACGATATTAACGATATTAACGATATTAACGATATTAACGATATTAACGATATTAATGATATTAATGATATTAATGATATTAATGATATTAATGATATTAATGATATTAATGATATTAATGATATTAATGATATTAATGATATTAATGATATTAATGATATTAATGATATTAATGATATTAATGATATTAATGATATTAATGATATTAATGATATTAATGATATTAATGATATTAATGATATTAATGATATTAATGATATTAATGATATTAATGATATTAATGATATTAATGATATTAATGATATTAATGATATTAATGATATTAATGATATTAATGATATTAATGATATTAATGATATTAATGATATTAATGATATTAATGATATTAATGATATTAATGATATTAATGATATTAATGATATTAATGATATTAATGATATTAATGATATTAATGATATTAATGATATTAATGATATTAATGATATTAATGATATTAATGATATTAATGATATTAATGATATTAATGATATTAATGATATTAATGATATTAATGATATTAATGATATTAATGATATTAATGATATTAATGATATTAATGATATTAATGATATTAATGATATTAATGATATTAATGATATTAATGATATTAATGATATTAATGATATTAATGATAATAATGATATTAATGATATTATTGATATTAATTATATTAATTATATTAATGATATTAACGATATTAAAAATATTAATGATAGTTATGATGATAAAATACTTTTTTAACGAAAATCCCTAATTCTAAACACGTACAATAATTATCAGGACGATAAAAAAAGTTTTAATTAGGTTTAATTTTATATTTAAGTTAGAGGAATAAATTGTATTGTGTGTTGTAGGTTTGTTACTAAAATTTACATTTTACGTTCGCTTCTAGTAAATTGTTAATGTACCGTGATATTTACTGAGAATCTACATCGACACTTCACGGACTCTCAGATATTGCTAATAAAATTATGTTTGCCAAACGGCATGAACCTCGCTTCATAACCGCATCAACGATGAAGCTACTTAACCCGTTGCCAATCAAGGACTAATTACAAGGCAGAAAAGGACCAAGACCCTTCGAATTAATCTAGTACGGCAGAAATTCTCTCAAATTTAATTTTTAAATAAAAAGGGTTTTTGGTTTATATATAATAATTTTGTTTGATGGATGGGTTAAACATGTGAATTTAAAATACATTTTTAAAAATTAAAACGCTTAGTTTAGATTTTCGTTAGCATGTTGGATTCTAATTAACAGTGCTGTTCCTAAAGTGACGCTGGGAAACAGTAACAAAGCCTACAGAGAACCAGAGGCTAATAGCCTTAGTAGTAGATACCGATAACACCAAATTTAAAAAAATATCATTAATACCATTATCATTAATATTAATAATATCATTATCATTAATATTAATAATATCATTAATATCATTCTTATCAATATTTTTATTTTTCTGATAATTGTACGTGTTTAAGATTAGAAATTTTCGTTACAATAGTAGTATGTATATGATGGGCACGAAGACGAAATTTGAGCACGACTCCGTAGGCGGAGTGCTTAATCGTACAGTACAGTATATTTTTTCTACCACCCATTAACGAAAGTTTACAAATAAAAAAAATATTTTAGGTTATTAAGATAAAATAACTAATTTTAAAATAATTTATGACTTTCAATAATTTTTAAAATAAAATAAACGAAAAATTAAGAAAAAGTTCATTTAATGTTTACCCCATCCGAGAATCGAACTCCAGTCTCCTGTGTGGAGGGCTAGAACGCTGACCACAGGACCATATACTCTTTTATTTTTGTTGCTTTAATACTTATTATTAAATTGACTTCATATAGTTTTATTTAAATTAACACATTATTTATAATTATAGACGAAATAAAAACAGAAATGCTATTATTTATCGATTCTACACAAGAATAACCAGTTATATTTTATTTTTAATCTCAATAACTAAAAAATATACTGACAATTAGTTTGACAGAATTGACACTTATTTAAAATTTTAAAAATAATAGCAGTCGATTGATCAAAATATGAACATTAGTTGGTAGATTTTATTTTTTTGCAGTGTTTTCACTATCTAGAGTGGATATGAAATATATTCCCCCCAAAATTTACCCCGAACTGATTAAATCCCTCCCCCCCCAACTCACGTGTTGAAAATCTTTTTCAACTTCAACTTTCTCTCCTTCACAAATTTGTTGTTTATTAATAAAGTTTGTAGTACTTCCAATGGTGGTAATTAAATAGTTTGTTTTGTGATACTTAAACTTACTATTTACCAAATACATTTTCCGATTATATATCATTAATTATTATTAATACAATTTGCATAACATAATCGAAACCTCTACCATAAATTTATTAACAATTACGTTGAACTAATATAGAATAAATATGTTATAAATTAAAAAATCTTTTTTAATATTAATTAATATTTTTATTTTCTTTTTCAGGTAAGTGCTAAATGACTGACAATGCGTAAGTAAAAAAAAATATCAAAACTTATATTGAATTTATATTTTTTTGAAAATTTTTTATCAATATAGACGAAATAAAAATAGAAAAGCTATTGTTTTCGATTCTTCATATAAATAACTCATTTAGTTTGACAGAATTGTCACTTATTTAAAATTTTAAACATAATAGCAGTCGGTTGATCAAAATATGAACGTTGATTGGTGGATTTCATTTTTTTTGCAGTGTTCTCACTACCTAGAATGGATATGAAATATATTCATTCAGTTAAAGGCAATAACATACTTTTTCGTTTTATAATCTGTGCGTAGATAAGCTAATATCCATGTGGGTGTAGAATAAAGTATTTTATCATCAATAAAATCATCACTAATATTTTCATTTATATCGTCACTAATTTTATTATTAATATCATTATTAGTATTATTAATATCATTAATATCATCAATAATAACATCATAAATATTATAATTAATATCATCATTAATATTATCAAATGGGGGTAATTGAATCACCGAATTTTCAACACAATAAGTATCTTACCTACCGATATTAATAATATATTTTTTCAATGTACCCAAAATATGCAATTTACTATCTATTATCAATATCTCTACTTGTTTTTTGTTCATGCTTTTACAGCCTTTACAGCTTGTAGGGTGCCTTGACTCCAATCTTGATTATTCTTCATTCTTCTAGTGTTTTACTTCCAAGCGTCTAGTTATATTTAATTGCCTTCATTTGTACCATTCTTTGAGTAGCAAATACAGCTGTCCATATTTTTTAAGTACAATTGCAGTTTTATCAGTATTTTCCTTATTCCTATTCTCTTATCAAAATATCAAAAGTAGAACTATGTTCATAGAATGTTATATTCAATGTTTATTTTGAAAAACCATACAGTCTATTGCTGTTTAGTTTTAGGCTCATTCATATGAATATATCGAATTTTCGTCACCTGCTATTATATAAATACAGAATTTTAACAACCACCTTCAAATTTTTTGAGCATTTAATCTTGCACCATTTTACACGTGCCTGTGAAGATCTAAACCATAGTTTTGAATAGTGGCGTTTAAAATAATCGATCAATCGATTAGTATATTAGTAATCGATTATTTGAGTGATCGAAAATAATCAGTTACTTTATATAATCGATAATCGATTATTTATTTTGATAATCGCCTGTCATATCGATAATTCGATATTATAAAACTGTCGTTTGATTATTTTTATAATATTTAAATGAATTAGATATTTACTAACAATCGATAAACTAATAAAAATCGATTAACTAATAAAAATGGATTATAAGATTAAAAATTAATTAAATAATATCGACGTATCGATTAATCTAATAATCTATATACCCATTATTCGAAAATAATCAATTTAACGATTTATCAAAAATAATCGATTTTATCTTTTATGAATATAACTGATAATGGAAAATAAACGATCTCTAGATTAATCGAAAACAATCGTTGAAGCAAAAATAATCAAGAATCCATTATTAATTTTGTTTTGGATGGTGTTTCATCCCCAAATAATGAACCAAGAGTAACAACTTTTTTTAAAATCGACTTGTGAACTGAATTGTAGGTAAAAAATGTGCTCTGCATACCAATTTTTCTTTGATATTTTGTAATTTTGAGTCTCGAAATTAATTTTAGGTCAAATCGATATCTTTTTAACCGTTTTTGAAAAATCCATTACCAGAAATTAATTCTTATTAACATTAAAAAACAATTTAAAACTGAAGCACTTCATATACGTCATTTTTATCTATTCTCCATGCATTACGGATAATTTCACGGAACCCTTACAAATCATTATTATCTTCTAAGAGCGATTAAAACAAACTCTATTATGTACTCTTCTAAGAAATTCGATTTTTGTACACTAAGTAAAATACAAACGACACTGCGTAGGCATATTATTGTGATAGGTAGGTAATTCGAATAACCTACATGTAATCGTCGATTCATTTAACGGTAAACTTCTTAAGCAAACGATATGAAATACTCTCACGCACTCGGAGTTATTACGGAGAACGAAAAACCGAGTTTTTAATGCATCATCCATATTTAGCAGAGACGACCTCAAACGAAATCCTTGCCCTACAAAAACTGAATAACTCGAGTTCATTTGGAAATTAAAACTGGACAAAAAAACATGCCGTCAGTCCATCTGGAAAGTGGTGTTTATAATTACGTACTTCCATGTAGCGGGCGTAAGTTAACTTTATAAATTTATACAATGCGTCTATATACAGTGTGGTCCAATGAAAAGTATCCACCCCCCTTTTCTTGGTTCGCTCTATATTAAAAATAACCTTCAATTCAAAATAATTAGCATAGAAAATTTAGAATTCTTAGAGTATATTTGGCTTGAAATAAAAGTCGACAAATATGCATTTTGTACATTGTATAGACCTCCTGCACAGAATCTTTTATTATTTTTAAATACATTTGAGAATTTACTTCTCGATATATTTCGAAACCAAAATTTAGGGGGTTCACAGTAGCAGAATATAGATCCCGGTACAGATATAGGTAAAAAACTGTCAGCGTTTTAGAAAAGTATATTATAAACTTTCTAAAACGCTGAAAGTTTTTTTCATACATCTGTACTGATACCTATATTCTGTCACTGTGAACCCCCCACGAGCCGCCACTGGTCACGATGGTTTAAATAGTCAAATTATTATTCTCTGTAGCCCGTTTATCATTGAATTTATTACTCATATTATTAACATGTGCATTAAAAACTCTTATTTTCCAAAGTCATGGAAACATGCAGTGGTAACTCCACTTCCTAAAATTGCTAAACCGTCAGAGTTATCTCATCTAAGAGGTATTAGTATTCTGCCTACTTTATCAAAGATTCTTGAAAGAGTTATTGAAAAGAAATTAAGAATACATTTAAATACCAATAATATTTTGCCTTCTCATCAGTCTGGATTTAGAGCTGGTTATAGTTGTGCAACAGCCTTGGCTGCTGTTACTGATAATATAATTTCGTCCCTCGATAAAAATGAGCTGGTTATCCTAATTTTAATTGACTATTCTAGAACGTTTGATACTATAAATCACCGGATTCTGCAATAAAATTTTTGTCGGGTTATCTTATTAACCGAACTCAACAAGTTAAACTTGGTAAAAAATTATCTAATACTAAAGAGATAAAGCAAGGTGTTCCCCAAGGCAGTATATTAGGACCGCTTTTATATTCCATTTATACTTC